CGAGAATCCCGAACAGCACGAGACTCATTTGCGCCAGCTGTTCACAAGCCTCCGTGATTATGGAGTAGTAGTGCATCCTGACAAATGCCAGTTTGGAGTCGAAGCACTAGACTTTCTAGGGCACCATGTGACTGCCCAGGGCGTCTCCCCGATGGATGACAAGGTCGCGGTAATTCGCAAATTTCCGCGCCCTACCTCGCTACGCCAGCTGCGCCGGTTCTTAGGCATGGTTAATTTTTACCGCCGATTTATGCCTAAGTGCGCATCCTCGCTGGCCGCCTTGACTGATTTGCTGCGCAAGCAACCTAAGCGCTCTCGAAAGGCGTTAGATTGGTCCCCTGTGTGCGACTCTGCTTTCGCGGCTGTCAAAGAGGACCTCGCGAACGTCACGATGCTTACATACCCGTCTGTTGAGCTACCTACAAGCCTCGCGGTAGACGCTTCCGATCTCGCCGTAGGTGGTGTGTTACAGCAACTCCATGAAGGGGAGTGGCGACCGCTTGCGTTCTTTTCTCGCCGCCTCAAGCCTCCCGAGACTAGGTATAGTACCTTTGGTCGAGAGCTGCTAGCCATTTACCTCGGAATACGCCATTTCCGATACTTCTTAGAGGGGCGTGATTTTTTTGTTTTTACAGACCACAAGCCTCTTACCTTCGCACTCAAGACATCGCCCGATCGACATTCCCCTAGGGAAGCGCGGCAACTCGATTACGTGTCACAGTTTACCTCCGACATACGCCATATTCGAGGCATTGATAATCAGGTAGCTGATGCACTTTCTCGCACCGAGATTGACTCAGTGCAATTACCGAACTCGATTAACCTGCGTGTAGTCGCGACCGACCAAGTCGATGACGTTGAGCTCGCTGCTCTGCGCTCAGACACGTCAACCTCGCTCAAATTTGAGAAGGTCCTTCTTCCGGAAGGGGACGCGCACATTTGGTGCGACATGTCCACAGGGCATCCGCGGCCGTATGTATCGGTAGCGCACCGTCGATCGTTGTTTGACAATCTGCACAATCTCGCGCATCCGGGCTTTAAAGCTTCGCAAAAGCTTATAGCGGCCCGTTTTGTGTGGCGGGGTATGAACAAGGACATTTGTACATGGGCGCGTACTTGCATCCCATGTCAGCGCGCAAAGATCCAACGTCATACGCACTCACCGCTTGGCACTTTTGCCAACCCCGATGCCCGTTTTGCACACGTTCATATTGATCTTGTTGGGCCACTACCGCCCTCGAAAGGGCACATTTATCTGCTGACTTGTATCGACAGGTTCACCCGTTGGCCCGAAGCGATCCCGATAGCGGATGCCACTGCCGAGACAGTAGCCATAGCTCTAGTGGAGAACTGGGTAGCTCGCTTTGGAGCTCCAGCCACGATTACGCATGATCGAGGTCGTCAGTTTCAATCTGCGCTTTTCACTGCATTAGCTAATTTGCTAGGTTGTCGGACCATAGCCACCACGGCCTACCACCCGCAGGCCAACGGTATGGTGGAACGGTTCCATCGGCAACTTAAAGCCTCTCTCAAATCTCAACCCGAGCCGAACCGTTGGCAAGAATACCTTCCTTTGGTCATGTTGGGAGCTTCCGCTGCCGAACTAGTCTACGGGACGGCGTTGCGTCTTCCAGGCCAGCTGATAGTGCCTACGCGACACGATACTGTTGACCCCGCGGACTACGTCCAACGCTTGAAGGACCATATGTCTGTTTTAGCGCCTACAGCGACACGTAGGTCACCACAGACCAGTTTTGTACATAGGTCTCTCGATACTTGTACGCATATTTTCTTGCGTATCGATGCTGTCCGTAAGCCATTACAGCCTCCGTATTTGGGTCCGTTCAAGGTTCTCAAACGAAACCCGAAGTTTTTCGTTATTGAGCAAAAGGGCAAGCATGTTTCTGTAAGCATTGATCGACTGAAACCCGCATTTTTGGAAAGCGTTTCGGCTAGGACTACCGCGGCTGACGTGCCTCTAGAGGGAGAACCTACCGTCTCCTCCCCTCTGCGCACAGCACTTCGCGCAACCTCTGCGCCTGCTCCTGCACCTGCTCCTACGCCTGCTCCTGCTCTGGTGAAATCGCAACCTGCTGCGCGTGTCACACGTTCAGGCCGCCACGTCCACTGGCCGCAAAGGTACGTTCAGGTTCACTACATTGAACGTGTCGCATAAATAGTGGTTATTTTCATGTATATTAATGTATTTTGTACATATGTTTCCTTTATATTTTTAATTGTGTATTTTCGCCCCTCGGAGCTTACGCAAGCTCGGGTCTAGTAGGGGGGTTAATGTAGCGACAAATGTTACAGTGCATTCATTTATAATTCACTGGTATACATATTGTGTTTTTAATCCAAAATGGCCGCTTTAGAAGTCATTGAGAGTTCGAGGATTTGGTATTACGCCATGTCCTCAGAACTGGTTTTAACTCGATTTATTATATAACGATGTTTATTCATTAGTATTTTGATCACATGACCAATTAACATAGATGTACGCGTATTTATTCATAAGTATTTAGATCACGTGCCTTATTAACATACATGTGCGCTTGTTTTGAACCAATCGCGCTGTAGTTGATTGGCGCTCTTCTGATTTTCCTGTGCGGGAATCAGTGAGCTGTTTTAATATTGGTATACACACATGCTGTTATTGTGTTGATATTTGTACCTAGAAAATTGTATCCAACGAGGATTGAACTGCTACGTCCCCGGACCATTCCCGGTGGACGTGCTCACCTATTTACATCTTGTACGTTTTGCAAGATATATTTTGACTCTCTCGATGTTCAACATTGACGACACTTTAATTCACCAGCAGTGAGAATAGAACATTTAATATGATCTAACGTTTTTCTCACCTGCATTATTGTTTGACAACCTTTTATCATCGACTTCATATATATAATTGTCTCGACATTTGATTCTTCGACCTGCATCGCAAGTCACTGAAGTTGATCTATTGACATTGACTGCATCATCATTGTATTCATCTGTTAACTGATTCATCATCGTTGTCTTCATCACCGTTGTCTTCATCATCGCTGTCTTCACCAGCGTCGTCTTCATCGTCGACTTCATCATCGCTGTCTTCACCAGCGTCGTCTTCATCATTGTTGTCATCATCATTGTCTTCAACATCGTCTTCATCATCGTGGTATTCACCTAGCTTCGATCATCGTCTGCATATCCTACGCGATCGACAACCAGCTCGTCGACCACTGTTTTCGACTAGCTAGTTTCTACATCTACCTAGAACTTGAAGAAGATCTAGGCCTACTTTGAATTCAACTCCAATGACTCACGTAACGTTAATTATATTGTGATTTATGCTTTGCATTGTTTATCATTGTGAGGCCTTATTTTGACTGACTGAGTGCCTGTTGTTGAGTGCGTACGCTTACTAACACATATTTTACATGTTTATAATTGCACTAGTTCTAGGCCTATGCCTGGTCTACTGATCTAGATCTGCTATAGTCTAGATCCACCGATATATTGTTGTATTCTCGTGTTGTGCATTCCGTACACATACACAAGTAGAGATTTGTTTAGCGGTTTCTTGAACCACAATATTTCGTGCCTATGTAAGTAAATCTAAACGCTGTCTAGCTTAGATTTGAGTAGTATTTTCTTGACTGTTATTATTCATGCAGTGGGAATGATATTTAACTGACTTGTTTTAGTACTGTTTTAAGTTGTACTGAACAGCTAGACTCCTGATATTTCGAGACTTGTATTCAGCGGTAATCATTAATACCATAGTGACTAAGTTGAGTCTCCTTTACATTAATGTGCTGTTGGAAGTTATCTATGTTTGATTATTAATAGTAACTACCAAGGGCCTAGTGATAGTTTAATTGTCTGTCACTGTTGAGATAGACAGAAGAGGTTTCTGATAATTCTGTAATCATTGTATCTTATGTGAAATTATAGAATATAGAACCAGTTTTTAACCATAATCAATTTGTCTGGATGTGATCATTTATTAAGTGTTTTCTTGTCTGGAGGGATACTGCTTTTTAGTAGTTTAATTAAAAAAGGGAATTATGTGGGATTACTAGTTAACACGCAACATAGTCCATACCCCATGTAGTTTTCCAAACGTCTATGACTATGGCTGATTGGCGTGCTCACACTGACAAACTATTTTACGAAAATAAAATGCTGAAGGTAAAAGATATATATTTTCTATATCTGGGATATCTTATGTATCAGTTGGAGAAGGGTGAAGCTCCCATGTCAATAGCATCTATTTTTGTAAAGAATAACCAAATACACAAATACTCTACTAGGCAGGCTGCCTTATACCATGTATCATCAGCTAGAACTCAGCTTAGGATTAATACACTTGCACATACTGGACCAAAGTATTGGAACTCTTTAGACTGTTCTATTAGGCAGTCTGTAAGCTCTTCTGTCTTCAAACGTAAGCTGAAATTTCATCTACTGTACACCTACAGTGAATAGATCTGATTTTTATTAGTATTCAATATAGGTAACTGGAATAGCATTGTCCCCCCCCCCCCCCGTGTTGTACATTACCCTCCTTCCCCTATTTCTTTACTTTTTCATTATCTTTATTCTGTTTTCTTTTTTAGTCTACCATATTTTGTAAATTAGTGGTAGATCTGATATTTATTTATAGTCTGTATAGGTAACTAGATTAGTATTAGTCCCCCTCCCCCTGTAATATAACCTACTTTAAAAAAAAAATGTTGTTTCTGTAAAGGTGATCTGTGTTTTAACAAGCTGTGCTTTTTTAACAGACCACCTCTTTTTCCACATTTGTTAAAGTCTTTATAACTGTTTCATTGTTAATGTTTTTTTATGCTAGTTTACGATGAACTTGTTACTACTATTACTGAATGAAATGTTTTTTTATGCAAGTGGAAAGAAATAAACAAATCTTGAATCTTGAATCTATGTATGGGTGCAGGAGGAAGAAGGAAACAAATCAAATGCGTGTGAAATCAGGTATAGGTATATAGACTCACCTCTCTGGTGAAAAGCAGCGCTACTAGCTGTGCGGATCGAATCGGAGCAATAGTGGTTTCCTGTACTTTTCACGCAAGTGTCATTTCTGTCTACAACTTGGCCCTATATAGCTGGGCAGCTTGAATGATGGAAATCAGTGCAGTGAGAATACGATTCGTAATGCCACGCACCGTGTACAATGACCTCTACCATACCATGACCGTGTAGTATTTCGTGCGGGCGCGCGCGCGCGCTCATTACCTCACGGGGAATCCCCTAAAATTTCTGCTCTTATGAGAGCACACAATCGCTATGTTTGCGTGCGGAGGCGGGGTAGGGGGGGGGGGGGGGTGGAGGTCAACCTAGCTGGAAAGGAAACAATTTTTTTCTCCAGTTAAATAATAGTTTGACTAAACAGAATTAGAGTATTAGGCAAATATGGTTTTATGTCATTTATAAAGTAAACAGTATTTATAGAAGTCCTGAAGATAAAGGATGTTTATTATTGTGCATATATTTAAAAATCTTCATTTGGATTTTATGCAGCTTGTGTGGGTGACAAAAGTTGGTCTGTAGAATTTGATTTAGCCTAGCTTGCATAAAAGTTAAAAGGCACTATTTATTGACTTGCTGAAAAGGTTAAGCTTTGCATCTCTGGCTTGGTATTTTGACTAAGAATTGAAAGAGAGTGATTATTCATTTGAAGAGTTCAACTCGGAAAGGCTTGCTGTAGTGCAGATGTGGATTACAGGAGTAAATTACAGATGGTTTATTTTGTATAAAGTGTGATCTCTAGATTAAAACCTGTGCCACTGTGGTTAAAACAATTCTTGGTTGCATAGTTTTAGAGCAAGTCAGATATTTAAGTTTAATTCATCAAACAGTGTTTAATTGAAAGAAGACATTTTATAAGACAGTTTTTTATAGGCGAGCAGAAATATGGAAATTATGTGCCTGTCAAAGTCAGTGGAAGGTCATACAATACATTTAAAGTGACAATCCAATACTGATGTTTTTAGCACGAATTTATGATATGCAAATATATGTGAATAATCATGCTTGTGTATGGAGACACGATAGAGATGTTAAACAGTTATTTTGGTTTATGCAAATTGGGAGTAATGTGTTTAAAGGAAAGTCAGGTCAGTTTGAGAAACTCTCAAAATATGAGTTAAAAGTTAAAAGACGAGTTCAAGATTGACAGTTTACAAAAGCAAAATGTGTTTAAATGAATCTTTATAGATACAGTTAGTTGGTTTATTCAGATATTTTATAATATATCATGTATTCTTGTGTATTGATGTACTAAATCTGTCATTGTTATTTTATCTGTTTTTATAGATCGGAAAATCTCCATTTCCAGCTGGACTCCCAAACTTTTATTTTTCCTTTTCTTCAACTATTCAGCTGTGATGTTCGTTTACACATTTGATATGTAGGCCTACATATCAAAATATGAAATCCTTCCTTGGAAGTATTTCATTTCATTCAAGTCTACACAGAAACTGGAAACCTAGGGGCGTTTCATGAAACAATTAGTCGGTGGTTTTCACCGACTAATATCATTTTTACCAACAATTCTATAGTCACTGACTATTTTCAAGGCCTCTGATTGGTCAAATTTAGTCAGCGCTGACAGTTATCGGCTGACAAATGTTGAAGAAACGCCCCCCCCCCCCCATTTGATTGCTTTATGATTTCATATTCCTTTCAGGGGCTACTTTACTTAATATGTGAAAGACATACCTTTGAGATCATGATTCAGAATTGAGACATAAATGAAATTATGTCAAGCGAGTGTACTCTTGTTGATTGTAATAATTAAATTATTGAACTTTTACATGTGTGTCTACTCTGTGTACAATTGAATTAAATTTGTGCAATGTGGAGTGTGATTGTGTAAACTGAACAAGAGTGTCTAGGTAGAGACCATTTCACAAATGTATTCAATCTATTCAGAATTGCATTTGAACGTCTCCAAATTCATACATTTAGGATTGATAGATATAGCAGCATCATCAACCTGTGATTCTACTCCTGGCTTTATAGATACAATACACTGTGAATGATTCAGTCTCTTATGAACATGTAGCATTGGGGGGGGGGGGGGGTGGAGGTGGGCAGTTTCCCTTCAATCAAATACATTTGTGAACTGGTCAATTCTATTCGATATACTAGTAGGCCAATTAGGAAATGGGGTTGGGCAGTAGGTGATATAAAGAAGATCAATTTAGCAATTAAGCTAGGGAGCAAGTACTGAGAGAGATAGAGAGAGAGAGAGAGAGAGAGAGAGAAAGAGGGGGTGAGAGAGAGAGGGGTAGAGATAGAGTTGGGGAGGGAGAGACAGGAAACAAAGAATGAGAGACTGAGGGAGATTGAGGTAGTTGATACGGACTGGGAGAAGGGGGAGGTCATGAGAAAGGGGATTAGATGATGATGTAGACAGTGACGGGATTAGAAGGAGATTGAGGGAGGCCGTGGAGAGCAGAAGGAGGAGGAACAAAAGAGTTTAAATTTAAGATTTGGAGTGAGGGTTACAGAATGGAAGAGGAGCTATGAAATAACAGAAGAAATGAAGGTCAGGAAAGCTGCTGCGATGGGAGGCCGTACAGGGGGTGGATATGTATTATTATATTCATATGAATATGAATATGAATATGTATATGTATAGTCATAACTCCACAATACTTGTTAATTGTATGAAACAGCAAATTGCCAAATATCATAAACCACTGGTGCTCTTAAATAATGAACATTACAAAGCCCCCCCCCCCCCCCCCCTCCTCATTCCCCGCTCTCCTTAGCATGCAATGTTGGCAGTTTTCTTCAAGACCCGACCTGGGTCGACGCCCCTTTCTTTGAAAATAAACTTTGTTTTTCATGCACACAATCAGCCTTTGCCTGTCCACATTTGTTCATATACAAGACTGATATGTATGCTATACATGTATTTGGGGTTGTTGTTATTATGTGAGGGAGTTTTGCAACCAATAAAGAAGACATAAATTTTGGAGTGCGGCTGAAAATATGATTTATAGAGCACCTGTAAGAGCCAAATTATGGTATTTCCTGTGGTCCATGATAAGACGCACAGACACTGCTTCTCGGCACAAGTCCTCAAAGATAACTATTCCAAACGCCATTTGTTATAAATCATCCTAACTATAACTGTGGGAAGTCATTTACAACATTCGTCGTTTTGAGTACAGGTTCATTTGTACATGTCTATTGTATCTCGTCTGGTATGTCATATTCTATTCTCCCCCCCCCCCCTCTCTCTTCTTTCTCTTCTATTTTCATATCTCAACTATCTTCCATTTTATCTCTTTTCCCCCTCGGGCTTTCTCTCTCCCTTCTTCTTTATCCTCTGTTTTTATACCGTTCTCCCCCTCTCTCTGTTTCTTCTTCTTCTTTCTCTCCTATTTTCACCTCTCAACTATCTTTCTCTTTATCCTCTCTTTATACCTTCCTTAATCTTTATGTTCTGTTTTATATCTTTTCCTCTCTGGCTTTCTCTCTCCCTTCTTCTTATTGTTTCTCATCTATTTTCTTCCCATCCTCCCTCGCTTTAAATACAGCTTAAACAAAGAGAATATAACGTAACACACATTGCAAGATGGGTATATATTTACATACCAAAATATGAATTCTCATATATATTTGCAAAATACATTAAGATATAGAAAACGTTTGTGGAAAGACGTGAATGAATGCAATGTGATTCCTCAGCTAAGAACAGTATACATATATATATATATATAAATATATATTTACATAGTCAATACATTCCAGATATCAATAACACGTTAATACAGCAGTCCTGCAAATCGATGAACATTGGACATATAACAAAAACAGGAATTCACACTTTGCTTTTAGATGATTCCAGATTTTATCAAGGCAAGAACAACAATGCTTTAAATAAATACAGCGTGAACAAAGAGAATATAACGTAACGCTCATTGCAAGATTCCACTTCTCTTTCCCATATCTAGGTGTACTGCATACAAACTGGCAAATTTTATACAACTCAGGTAATAATGGAAACGATCATGACAATATAGACATAAATGGAAATATATTTATAATAGAGTATAAATTAATAAGATAATGGTAAAAACACTGTACAGGAGCGATGGATGTTTGAAATAGAACTTGAAAGAAATAGTCATTGTATATAAGAATAAACCTTTGACAACTTATTAGATATCACATGGGTCCATATTCTATTCAGATCTACTGATCACAGAAAAAATATTAACATAACTTACATTGCATCATCGAGATGGGAAATAGGCACACATTCTAATGACATTAAATAAAACAACAATAATCCTGTATATCAAGAGAAGTGTTACATCAAACGCCATTTTCCAAACCATTTGATTAAAGTTAGAAAAACATCTTCAATCTCAAAAGCAAGAATTTATTGGATACAACAGAAATAAGACTAAAACTTGTCTAGATCAAGTATACACTTTGTACACTCAATATTTTCAACAATCTTTCTTGATAATGGATGTATTGTCGGTTAAACAGGAACAAGTCAATACAAATTACTTTACCCGTAGACAATGATATAAATCCTGGTATACCGGAAAGCTCCTTTAATTCTTACAGAATACATGTATCACCATGATGAAGGATATATCAACACAACCTTACGTATTAAATTTGATTGTGCAATGCAATATATTATAATCATCATTACAGTATGTATAGCCAATATGAGAAAACTCAAACCAGTTGGAGTTGTTATTAACAATCAACAGAGAGTTTTTTGGATTTGTTCAAATTCACTTCAGTTCAGTTCGGTTCTTTTCATATTTCACATTTCAGGTTACACACTTTCAGCTTTATTTACAAGAAATGTAATGATAGTTTAACAGTACAGGCCTATTTTGAATACATATAAAATATATCAAATCACTTTAATTTTTTGTAGTTACCGTAAATTAAGGACTTCAGCTTGTTGGTTGTAAGCTGTATATATGCATGCTGTAGGTTGTATTGCATAGATTGATTTAACATAATAATCCATCCTATTTCCATCACCAGGAAACCTCTTTTTTAAAAATTATATTAAATGGTGAGAGTACACAAGGCGTCAAACTTTAGCTTACCATGGAGCTCCATATGCTTCAACCATAATTATA